TACATCTGTCGTTTCTGCAAAAAGCCTGTGTTTTTCGAAAGGGAGGTCTTCTACTTTACTTTGTAACTCTTTGGGAACCGCAGCTGTAGCTAGCCAAGACGATCTCCTCATAGCAGTCGCCACAGCTGTGGAGTGAGCAGCTGTGTCCGCTACATCTAGGGCAATCTGCAGTCCCACCCTAGCTGATGTGTATCCTTCCTGTATGACGGATCTCAGAAGTGGTCTCTGAGTCGGGGAGATATTGGTGCAGCTCCGTCAATTTCAAGTAATTATCAAAATTATGATTAGACAACAAGGTGGCATAATTTGTTATGCAGAGAAGCAAAAATGTCTAGTTTTTTACTCTCCTTGTCCGTCACAGAGTTCCTGTATTGTGGTGTCTTCACCCTATGTTGCACCGCATTCACCACCAGAGAATTCAGCTGCGGGTGGCTGAATAAAAACTCAAGGCCTTTGGAGGGGACAAAGTACTTCTTGTTGGCCCGCTTGCTTGTTGGCGCCACAGAGGCTGGGGTTTACCAGATTTCTTCCACCGCCTCCATAATCACTTCGTCAATAGGAAGCGCAATTTTTTACCTTTGCTGGGGGTGTAGGTTTTTCAGCAGACGCTATTGTTTGGTCTGCACTTCCACCAGCTGCAACTCTTGGGATTCTGCAACCCACTTGAACAGCTTCTGAAATTGTTTCAGGGCATCTGGAGGGGACATGTCACCTGGAAACACCGCTTCATTGGGGAGGAAGAGGACTGATCTGATGGTGATGTCTTGGGTTGCTGATCCTCTCCCCCTCACAATACTGGCCCTCCTCCGGTTCTGACTGTTGGGGCTGTGCAGCAGGGCTCTGTTCTGAAGGAGTTGGAAGGTGCTTGTGCTGTTGTGGTTGAGGCTCAACAGACACATGCGGATAAACCAGCGAGCGGCAGCAACATGGGGATCACCTATGAGAATGTGATCTGTAGTAATGGCGAGATGAGTAATGTGGTTTGTGGTAATGCTCATAATAACGATCAGAGTGAGCAGGCAATGAATGTCTGGATGATACAACACGACCATGCCGCCTGTAATATGCTGAGTGAGGAGACTGTCTTGACGAATGAGGCAAGTGTGGAGAAAACCTCGAGGATGGTGACATCGAGCTGTGCCTGGAGAAATAGAACTGTGCTGGTTAGCTGACTTATCCGCAGCTTTCCTCGGTGCTTATGCAGTGCTGCTCATTGGAATCAACCCTGTTTCTGCCCTTTCTGGAGCCACTGATGCCGATGTGCGTGACTCCATCATCATGGGTGCTGTTGTGCACGGCACTGTTGTCGACGCAGAACATGCTGATGGTGGCGAGGGCAACGATGGTTGCGATGCCATAATATTGTCGGTTTGGGCTCCCAGTGCCACTGAGGTAATCAACTTTTTAGATTTGGCTCTTGTAGAGGTTTTTGAGACCACAGGGGCAGTGCCGGATGTATCAAGCTTATCCCCTTTACTGACTCTGCTGACAGGTTCAACAGGTACAGATTGCATGGGGGATGCTCTGACTTTCTTCATGGCAGTCACCCTCAGAGAAGAAGCCCTACGCTTCTGCGTCAGATGGGATTGGTCCTGCCTAGAGCGGGGGGCTGGACTTGACGACCTTCTGAGGTCTCTTCCAGTTCTATGATAAGGGGATGGTTGGGTGAAATAACATGATCTTGGTAACTAATTGACCATTCATTATCAGTTGGAAATAGGTCAATGGAGGGATGATAGGAGTTGCTATAGGGAACTTTCTGGGTGTCTGGCTGGTGAGTCTTGCCCACATGCTCAGGGTTTAGCTGATCGCCATATTTGGGGTCAGGAAGGAATTTTCCTCCCGGGTAGATTGGCAGAGGCCCTGGAGGTTTTTCGCCTTCCTCTGTAGCATGGGGCACAGATCACAGCTGAAGGACTCTCTGCATGTTGGGGCCTTCAAAGTATTTGAAGGCTTCAATATCTGAGACATAGGTGAGAGGATTATTCTAAGAGGGGTGGGCGAGATTCTGTGGCCTGCACTGTGCAGGGCGTCAGACTAGATGATCATAATGGTCCCTTCTAACCTTAAAGTCTATGAGTCACACCCGCCTCTGAACTCGGTGGTGGAGCAAGGTTCACAGGGTAAGGCTTTATCGAACAGGATCATTTTGAGGCACATTTTTCTGTCCCTGCACGCTCTAGCAATGAGTTTAGAGCAATGCGTGCACTTCTGTGGGACTTGCGCCTCCCCGAGACAGCAAATACACACTAAATGGCTGTTGGACGCCTGCATGACCTCGCGGCATAGGGAGCACTTTTAAAAACCTGGTGAACCAGGCAGTGTCTCCAGTTAGGATACTTGTAGACTTACTAAAAGCTAACTAAAAGAACTCTTTTCTTTTTTGAAGTAAAAACTGAAAAAAAAAAAGCTTTGTTCTCTTAAGTACAAATGAACTATAGAACTGTAAACACACTAAAACTAACAATAACAATTTCTTAACTAACTATTGACTGGAAAACTCTGACCAGATGAGAAGAACAGAGCTCTGCCTGCGACCGAGGACGGTTGAGAGGAACTGGCGGGAGCTGGACTGCGCACGACAAAGGGTGCAAATTGCAGGAGACACTGACCACACATGTGCGGTCCAGCTGACTATGGCTACTGTGGCACCAGGACGAGCCTGACATCTACAGCGGAGCACCCATGGGGACCACTCTAAGAAGAAATTCTGGGTAATTAAGAGCAAGGATGGGGAATCTTTTTTGGGTCAGGGGCCGCTGACTCTCAGAAAAATCAGTCGGGGGGGGCCACACACTAGTGAGAAGCAAAAAACCAAAACACACCCTCACTGATGTGGCCCTGACTGAGGAGAAAGACACTCCCCAGACTCCCCTCGCACACCAGAGCCTGGGGGGCCTCAGGCTAGTAGATTGTGTGATCTAGCCCTACTGGGAGGCGGCAGGGGGGCTGGAATGCCAGCCCAGGATTCCCAATGCTAGGGGGGAGCTCTGAATCTTGGGGTACTGGATGCAGGCAAGCTGGGGGCCACATCTGGGAGGGAGGGAGTTTGGATGCAGGAGGCGTCGCAGAGCAGGGGTCAGGAAATGGGACAGGTTTCAGGATGCTGACTCTGGGCGGTGCTCACCTTGAACAACTCCTGGCAAGCAGCAGCATATTCCAGAAGCTCCTATGCATAGGCATGGCTAGGCAGGTCTGTGTGCTGCCTCCGCCCCTACAGCTCCCATTGACCATGGTTCCCAGCCAATGGGAGCTGCGGAGCCAGCGCACAGGATGGCAGCAACGCATGGAGCCCCCCTCGCCATTCCTCTATCTAGGAGCAGCAGGGACGTGTTGCTACTTCCGGGGAACCATGCAGAGCCAGGCAGGGATCTTACCAGAAAATCTGGTTAATAGAGCTTTCCAGCTGATCAAGTGCCAGATAACACCGCTTTTACTGTAACAATAAAACATTCTGAACTACATAAGAAGATGCTTTCACTCTCCATTTCATCTTGACTCTGGGTTGAGCATAACAGCTACTTAACAGCACATGGTCCTACTAGTTCAGCAGAAAAAATATTGAGCTATATCCTGATTTGTTGTAATTCAGTGCTACTCCGTTGACTTCAATGAAACTACAACAACTTACATCAGCTGTGGATCTGGTCCCCCATCTGCAATGGAAGCTTCAGAGGGAATTTAGCTAGGCAGACTGCAGTTAGTCAGAAAAACACGAACTTTCATTTCTGTTATGAAAAGCACTGTGACATTTTAATGATCACAAGAGGTTAGGACTCTCATATTTCACTCTTCTAGATGAAATGGATACAGAAATATACAAAAAAGTCTTAGACCCAAGACCATTCTTTGCAATTAATAAATATTTCAGCCATAGCTATAGTGGAGCAGATAGTATTGCAAACATAACGTATGGTTTGTATGGACTTGTTTTAGTCAGATGTCTTTCCTGTTTATACATTCATACAGTCTCTTCTGTGGCAAACAATAAAAGCCTATTCTGGGTATGAAGGTTACACTGAAAACCGCACATTTACAAAATGTCTTCTATCACTAGCACATCAGTTATGTGCATAGCTAAACATCCTGCAGAGAGCACCTCGGTAACAGAAGGTGGGTAGAGACAGATAGAAGGATCACAGCAACCAGAATTGGGATAAAAATCTTGACTCTACGATTTTCTGTTCACTGAACATTTACCAAATAAGACTTCTTTATCGTTGTCATCTTCTCCTTCCTGGAACACAAGGCCAATGTACTATAGGGACAGTTTGCTGTCTTACCTCTTCTTCTGACACTTGAAAATGGACTTGCTGATCATCTCAAAATAGACCACCACAGTAGAAGAGCAGAGCATGTTCTTCAAAGAGCATGAGGGTAAGAAATCAATCCCTACTTGGTTTGCCCCAGTGTACATCACTGGGATCCTTCCTGGTAAGGCTTAAACATTTATTCTGTATAATTTGTGCTCATTAATGCAAATTCAGTATTGTTGGAGTGGTAGGGACAGGGATTTTTTTTCCCAAGCTGGTTAGTATTATTTGTAATTGGAACTATGGCTTTTTTATTTTAGTTACAGTTGAAACATTTTATGCCTTCAGGGTTTGAGTGCCCCCCCCCCAAAAAAAAACCTCTATTATTTCTCTGGATATAGTTTAGGAATGGAAAAAAAAGTCTATTATTTCTCTGGATATAGTTTAGGAATGGGATAACCCTTTGGGAATGGAAAAAATGAATTCCCAACAAAATGGAGAAATACATTTTGCACTGGCCTCTACTGCTGAGTACAACAAGGTTGTATAACTATTCAATCATTATTCAAAGAAGGCTCAAAAGCTTATCCACTCCACAGAGTGATAAAATTGTCCCACCCACCTTAAAAGATATCAATTACAGTCTTCACTTATCCTACCCAATAGAAACCTTTCATGGCTGTTTAATTGTGGATGCCATACATACCAAACTGTTGAAGAATGACTACTATAAAGTGACACTGTAAATCAGTCCGAAGCTATTTAATTTTTTTCAGCAGTACAAAATAATTACAAATATTGAGCTATGAAATAAAAAGTAAAAAATCATTCTTAAAATAGTTATAAAAATAAATAGTTAAAATCTGTTATCTACAAGAGATCATTGATTCTTAAGTATTTATAAATACTTCCAAACTAAATTAATCCGGGAAGGGCATAAAAATGCTGCTGAAATCGGTCATTTAATTTAAATATTTTTAAAAGCAATCTACATAAAATCATTGATCCTTAAATAAAAATACAAACTGTCAACATGCTAAGCACATACAACATTATTGAATTACACCAAACATTCTCTGCACACTGGAAAATTTACTATGGTTTCTCACATCACAAATGAATGTACATAGGAAAGATTCTAAAAATTCACTACGTACAATACACCTTATTTAAATAGATGCTGATTTTTCCAATCAGTTCCAAGGCACTTTTCTTCCTAAGATGCGGTTGGTGATCTTCTGTGGGAAAATATGAAGACATATAACAGATTAATTAGTATTATTTTTCTAACAATGCTACTACTTCATATTAAACTGTTCAAACACTGTCACCGGTACGTAAGTAATGATAAATCCCTTATACCAACTGTGCTTTTCCCTTAGAGGGATAAGGAGAAAAAAAACCGTTGAGACACTTCCCACTAGTGGGATGACATATCTTATACCAACTATGCTTTTCCCCTTAGAGGGATAAGGAGAAAAAAAAACGTTGAGACACTTCCCACTAGTGGGATGTCACAAGCAGAGAACCCAGACAGGGACTAAGTGTCCATTGTTATTACAGAAGCAAATTGGGGATTAATGTGTAACTATCATTTTTCCGTATAATGGCTGATATTTCAATTCCAAACTCAAAACCTGTTTTGACTGACATAGTGGACTTATTGTGTGATGAAAGTACCAGCTGCTACTCCTCTGTTTTAATTGTATTTTAGTAAACAAAAAAAAATTAAGCATACACCTTTCTAGAAGGCCAGATCAGAACCTTAGTTGTGCATCACTGAATAAGATAAAGAGCCCTTACTCCTCTTGCCTAGCAATGCTTTATGATTGCATACACACAAAAAACACCAGGCCCCACCCCGGACAACTCTTGTGGCTCTGCAGATGTACTATCATAATACAATAGACAAGGGCTTACAACACAGTTAATGTGTCAAGTCATTATGTGTACAAACAGGTTCTCCACTGATTATGGGGTTTTATATAATATCTATGCTGTATTATTATTCTTTCCTGATTCAGTGACAGGCTGTCCCATATTGTGAGGCTGTTTCAGACAACTGTGATCAAGTACACAGCTCCTCTTCTCCACGTTTCTGAAAATTCAGGTTTCTCTCACTCTCTTCCCCCTCACACCTTTTTCTCACTACTACATCTCTTCTCTTTGAGCATCTGGTGAGCTGTTTCTGATATTAGGTGAGCAAACTTCAGATATAAAACAACCACACCTTTGTGCTGGTTCAATCAGCAGATGTCAGTATCGCCAAAGCATGGAAAAGTCTTGATTCTGTACACTGCACTTTACAAAGCAGAGTATCTATATGATCTCCTAACAGATAACTGACATGCCTGTTAGCATATTTGACCTACTGCCCCAAAGACAGGAAGCAGATACACACAAACACATAATACTAAACATTACAGTATGGATAACAGAAGACTCTGGGAGCAACAGAACAATCATCATCCATCTCGGTATGGAACCTGCCCTAGAATACTGCACAAATACTGCCCTAGAATACTGCTCACATGCTGCCCTATTCCATCCTGCAATTTCAAAATACTTGACATTGCATGACTACTGAAGAACAGCCCTGACTGGAATAAATTATGTCTGCCATGTGCAGCTGCACAGTAAAGGCACCAGTGTCAAAGCTTGTGTCTTGCTCTTTTCTGACAGTTTTGTAGAAAATTGGCAGAATTAACAGTCTATCAGATGGTCTCAGACGACCAGAACTCAAAAAGTTGACCAAACTGAAATGAACTCTGGTCCCAAGGATGGAAGATAAGAACTTTAACCACTGCTCCTTTGATAATTGAAACAAAAGTTTAAAAGTAACTGGTGGGAGGCAACAAAGGAGTCAAAATCAGATGAACAGATTCTCTAACAGCATCAAGTGGGAATGGCAGCTCTGAGAAGTGTATTATATGCCTCTAGAAACAACATTCTTCCTTTCCAGCTCGTGTACTGACACCTAGTGGCCAATGTCTTGCTTACACCCCCCGGCCCTGCATCCTTAAAGATATTAACAACCTCAAAAAACGGTTCATTGGTTTGGATTTTGAATACATGCATGGGCACTCACGTCTTTAAAAAGGAAAAATACGTAATCAAATTAATTTTTCCAACACCTGAGTAATTTTTCTCCTATGCTATCCAAATATGACTCATCTACAGAGCACCATCCACCCTGTGCCCTGAATGAATCAGGGATCCTATGGAAAAAACAGTAAGTTATCATATAATTAAAATCTGTATCATCTCACACACACACGAGGGTCAAATTAAAGTTACACAATCAACCTGGAACTCTCTCCCTCCTACAGTCTCAGTCTCATCTACTTCAGTGTAGCCAGGATGAGTAGGAATGATGTCTCTGACCTCTGTCAGGGGCTGGAAATGGGCGACAGGAGAGGGATCGCTTGATGATCCCCTGTTCTGTTCACTCCCTCTGGGGCATCTGGCATTGGCCACTGTCGGCAGACAGGACACTGGGCTAGATCAGTGGTGGGCAAAAGAGCCTCTGTGGGCTGAATCTGGCCTGCCAAGTGAGTTGATCCGGCCATTGGAGGTCCTGACACTCCATCCGCCCCAATGCCAATCAGGGCCTTGGGGATGGGGGAAAGCATGTGAAGTCTCCTTCCGTCCTGCCCCTGTCCTGCAAGGAGTGTACGGTGCTTAGAAGCACCACGCGCTCCTGGCAGGGCGGGAGGAGACTGTGCACTCCCCCCGCTCAAGCCCTGATTGACCTGGCCGTGGGGGGAGCGCGCTAAGTCTCCTCTCACCCTGCAAGGGGTGCGGCTCTTCTAAGTACTGCATGCTCCTTGCAGGACAGGGGCAGGGTGGGAGGAGACTTGGCACGCTCCGTTCCCATCCCTAGGCCAATCAGAACTTGGGGGCAGAGGGAGGGCAGTTGGCTCTAAGCACATGCTCCCTTGCAGAAAGGGGGCAGGAAGCGGGACACTTCACGTGCTCCCACTCCCCAGGCCCCTCAGGTGCATGGGTACCTAGAGGGAACTGAGAGATGTTCAGAACAGCTGGTAGTTCTCTGGGAGGGGTGGGGGGGAGAGCAAAGACTTACTTTGCGCACTCCTCCACCCCCAGACCAATCAGGAGCAGCCTGTGGCCACATCAAAAATTTCTGAAGTGGCCCCTGGTCAAAAATTATTGCCCACCCCTGGGCTAGATGGACCTTTGGTCTGACCCAGTATGGCCATTCTTACATTCTTAGTGTTTCTCAAAGTGGGACGTGGACCCACTCAGAGAAAGCTGCTAATGGGCCACTCCGGTTTGTTTACTTGCCGGCCCCACAGCCATGGAGCCTCATGGCTCCCATTGGTTGCAGTTTGCCATTTCCAGCCAAGGGGAGCTGCAGGAAGCTGCCTGGGCCACACCGCTTCCCACGGCTCCCTTTGGTTGCAAATGGCGAACTGCAGCCAATGGAAGCTGCGAGGCTCCGTGGCTGCAGAACTGGTAAGTAAACAAACTGGAGAGGCCTGTTAGCAGCTGTCTCAGAGTGGGTTCATTGCCCACTTTGAAAAACACTGATCTACCTCAACTTCCACGTTCTCACCCTCCCTGAGCCAGCCTCCAGTCTCCCTCTCCACACCAATGCTCCAATCTCCTGACCCAGGAAGCCGGGCACATGTCCCTGCTGACTCACATCAGACAGCTTCTTCCTCACCTCGGCCCGGGCAGGGAGTCATCATTGATAACATGCCAGTCAGGGTCCCTATTCTCCATTACTGCACATGCAACCCAGCACGGGCAGAGTCTACAGCAGTTCAGAGCTGCAATTGCAGGTAAAAGCCTGCTTGGCCACAGGCTGGGGCATACCCAGCCAGGACAAAATCTACAGGGAATTTTAATGCTAAAATCCAAGTAATTGCTACTGAGCATGTGCAACTCAAGTTTTTCAAAGGGTTATAATTTGGCCAAATATTGGCAGATTTTCACAGCCAAATTTTGAATTCCTACTCAAACGCATGGAGGCACCACAGCTTCTTCAAAGAAAAGGTCAAGAATTTCTTATAAATGGGCCAAACAATATATTCTTTCCTAGCCTCATTCTCGGAAATGGCAGAGTCATTTTTGCTGAAACTTAAAAGGGAGATGCATTAACACAGATGTGTCTAGGGTACTTTGTGTGACGTGTCTTTTACTATAGCTGCCTCTAAGTCACAATATGACTGCATAAAGAATTTGGAGTATTAATCTTTAACACATTAGCACTGGCCAACCTGCCAGCTAAATGAACTCCTAAGAATATATGGGATTAACAAGTCATCTTTTCAAAGTCCTCTCAAACCGTGTAGTTAAAGTTATAACCAGGTCCGTGATTCCTTGTTAAACTTATCAAACATGCTTTGCAAATACAACTAGCTTAAAGTTATATATATTCTGCACAGCAGTCCACCTTTACAGAGGTGCATACTGTAAACAAAGTATAAATAGAATAGAATAATAGAAATACGGGGCCAGGGAGGGAATCTTGAGAAATCAAGTAGTCAAACCCCCTCGATGCTGACATGAAACCAACTGTATCACGTTGTTGACTCATTTATTTTGTCATCCACTTGGATGACAAAAGCGGAACCTTTTCTGCTATACTACTGCCTGCTAGTCACTACTCACTTTGTAGCTAGGCATTTAAGTTTTCCTTTCGAAGTGTAGTCCTTCACACTTGCCTTTACTGAATTTTATCTTCTTCATTTCAGACTAATTCTCCAATTTGTCAAGGTCATTTTGAATTGTAATCCTATCTTCTAAAGTACTCGCAGCTTGCTGTCATCTACAAATTTTATAAGCATACGCTCCACTTCATTAACTAGGACATTAACAAAAATATTGAATAGTATTGAACCAAGACAGACTCGTGTGAGACACCACTAGATATAACAGTCCTTTTTGATGGTGAATCATTGATAATTACTCTGAAAAATAGTTTTTCAACCACTTCTGCACTCACTTTATAATGATTTCATGTAGAGTAAATGAATCGGAACCAAACTAAGAGATCTTAGTGTAATGTGTTTACCTGCAGTTCTCTTTTCCTTATTAACCTGTGGCAGATCGGCTTGTGAAACAGAACACCTACCGTTTTGTAAAGCTGTGCTTTCAGCCGGTATGAAGAATATTCAGATTTTCTTTTTTCTTCCTCTCGTCTCTTCTGCACCTCAGGCAGCCGTTCATAGATTCTTAGTGCAAATACAAACAGAAAAAAGTTACTTGGGAGTAAAGGAATTTGTCAATGAAAAAAGCACACTGTTCTTTATCTTCAGTTCTCTTAAAAACTTCCGGTCAAATATAGTAGAGAAAGATTATCTTTTGGGGTTTCTAGTGCCATGGAGGCCAAACGTGAAATCCATGATCATTATCAGCAAAGATACCGGAAGTCCCCACATCCCGCAATGCCACTCACTGAAGTATCACCCCCCCCAAAAAGTATTTCTGGGAGTAATGTCAATGATATAGCAGCACTGCTTCAAAGAGTGGAAACAGAAAACAGAAATAGTACCACCAGTGGATGGGCATATTGAGATGCAAATACCAAGTTTATTCATGAATAGTAGATATTTCTGTGATAAGAAGCACTTGAAATGCCTAAAATTTTACAGAATCATCTGTGATATTTAAAGATCTAGGCCAGATTTTGCCCTCTCCTCCTGTTGAAAATTTCCCAGGCAAGGACCGGGAATAATGGGCAGCCTTGAATTTAGGAAGCATAAGGACTCAGACCTCTGCCAGGCAGCGTTGCTGCTGCCACTTCAGGCACAGTGTTCATAATCTGAATTATCAGCCCTCTGTAATACTTAAACAAGAAAAACTATATCTTGCTTCTTTACTGAGGGTATGTCTATATTACAGCATCAATTTGAGTTATCTTAATTCAAAATAGTTCATTCGAATTAAGCTAATTCGAATTAATGTGTCTACTCACAAAATGCAGCTCAAATTAGCATTTTGCTAATTCGAAATACTGCATCCACACTGACTGGACACAGAATCAGATTTAAGGCCAGCCAGAACCACGTCAGGCCCGGCATCAGGTCAGGAGTGTCTGTGTGTGCCTGCTGCCTGAGGCGGATGCCTGTGCTTAAGGGGACACTGCCCCTCCCTCCCCCTCCGGGCAGCCGGTTCTCAGGTGTCCCTGCTTGCTTGCCTGCCTCGATGAGGGACAGCAAAGCATTTGTGCCTCTGCATGCTCTTGATGCCCTCTCTTGGGACACCACAGCCCCATGGCACTCTGGTGCTTCTCGTAGACATGTTGCTGCGAGCCTGGCTGCACTTTCTGCAGGCTGCCATCCTGGAGGTCCATCGGGGGACTGTCAGTATCCAGGAGGCCCCGCAGGAGAGGTAGAGCCTCCCTGGTGTGCTCCACTGGGGGCTTGTGCCTCATTTCTCCCTCCTTACACTTACCCCTCCCTAATCCCTCTTCCTGATGTCAAATAAAAACACATTTCTTGCCAAAAACAAACTCTCTTTATTGACCGAAACTGAGGTGGGAATGAGGGTGGGAGAGGAAAGGGGGAAACCTGGGAGGAGGGAGCTGGAAGGGGGAGTTTGGCATTACTCTTTGTAGAATGAGGTTTACCAAACTCGAATTAAGCCCCCCGCTATTTTGAATTTAATTCAAAATAGCAGTTTGCTTGTGTAGATGCTATGGAAGTTAATTCAGAATAACGGCCGAATAGTATAGACATACCCTGAGAGATTTGGGATCAAGTGTACACAGGAGAAACTTTCTATAAACACGGTGTTGTACCAAAAACACATTCTTTTAGAAGATTTATTGCGTGACTCTTTATGCAGTAGATTTAATCAGATCACTGCCTACGTTTTAGAGGGAATTAGAAGCAGATTTTCTTTTAAAAAGACATTTATTCCTTCAACGAGTATTCATTAGAAAGGGCTTCAGTGGCTTGAGGATGAGGGATACTTTCAGCTACATTTGATTCCATGTAAGTGAGTACACCTCCCATGGCAGTGTCTGTGTTAACTTCAGCAGGGACAGAATATGGTAAGATAGTCAGAAAAGGAGAGCAAGTGGCAAAGTTGTGTAACTTGCACCAATTTGATATTAAGTACCTCTGTAAAACACATCATAGGGTATGAACGCTGGAGGTGTTAGCAGGAAAAGAAGTGGGTGTGTACAAGACAAAGCAGACTTTCACTACTTAAAATTACTCTTCCACCATCCCCAGTGGTCCCTGGCAATGAATTTGACCAGTGCTGAACATGATTCCCATCAAATATCCTAAAACTCAGACTAGAATAATCCACAAACATTTGTAAGAAGCCCAGACTACCACGTATAAACATGTTAGCTAAACATGTCTGAATTAGCAATCAGTTCACTTGAGTTAAATTCTAGAACAAACATACCCTATATAAGCGGATTCTTGTGGTAGTAGGCAGTTACACATTAAAATAGAAAGAAAGGACTCCATTATTTAAAATATATATATATAGTAAGTACAGAGGGGAACTGTTACTGCAGTGACTAAGGTAAAGCTTTGCTACTACCTTCTCAAAGACATACCTTCTCTTTTGTCCCTGTTTTCCTACTCTGTCTGTAGCTGCTCCCAGAAGCCCAACATTTCTAAAAACTTCACTAGCAGCATTACCTCTATAGAGAAGACAAAATGAATAACTTCTAGTAAGCCTTAAATTGAAGGAGGTAGGTGGTATTTGGATTAATACATTGATCTTTTGCCTCTGAAGTCACAGGTTCAGAACTGCATCAATTCACAACTGAAAAAGCTACAGGTGATTTCATTCTCTGGGTGGATGCTTCAGGCCAACCTTCCTGATGAAGTGTTGAGGGTTTTAGCCTAATACTTGGGAGAGGTTCGATTCCCTACTCTGACACAAACTTCCCGTGTTGACCTTGGTTAAGTCACTTAGCCTCTCTGTGCCTCAGTTCATTTCTGAAATGGGAACATCGGCACCAACCTCTTTGACAGAGCTGTTGAGAGGATAAATACATTAAAGATATTAAAGACTGAAGTGCTTTGAGAACCACAGAGTCATACAACTAGAAGGGACCTCGAGAGGTTACAAGGTTATTATGGGGGGGGGGGAATTGTGGTATTACTACCCTTACTTCTGGACTGCTGCTGGCGACAATACTGCCTTCTGAGCTGAGCAGCTGGAGAGTGATGTCTACTGGCCGGAATCCTCGCTTCGAAGGCAGAGCTGCCACCCTTACTTCTGCACTGTGGCTGGCAGGATACTGTCTTCAGAGCCAAGTGCCAAGTCAACAGCTGCCACTCTCCAACTTTCCAGCTCTGAAGGCAGCACAGAAGCTAGGGTGGTAATACTGCAATCTCCCTAATATAACCTTGCAACACCCCGTAATTCCCTTTTGGGATAGGACCCACAGTGTGAGAAATGCTGGTCTTCCCCATGAAATCGGTATAGTGTAGGGACAACACACATAAAAGACTAGATTTCATGGGGGAGGGCAGCAAAATAAGATTTCACATGTGTTTTTCATGGTTGTGAATTTGGTAGGGCCCTACTTATTATGCATTAGCACATGCGCCTTTTGGAAGTCTCTCCCTAAGGTCATACAAGTCCTCCATTGGAAATGGCATCAAATCCCCTTCGGACCTAAATTATAAGAATGGGACAGTCCACAGAACTCTTTCAGACTACTGTCCCACTTACTCTCCACAGTTCCCTCCAGCTAGGGATGGCTGGATGTGCTGCATTAACTAGAAAGTAATCTGCTGTTCAGATATTAGGCCATTGGTGTGCCTATTTATGAAGACATTTAACATATGTAGGGCATCCATAATTGTGGCTAATTCAGCATCCCGTTCCATAGTGATTTTAGAATTCTAACTAGTTTATCAAGGTGTAAGGAGAAATAGAATATTCTCCTCCCTGGAATGACCAAAAAATGTGTGCTTATTAAATAGGAAGATTTTAAAAGGCCAGTGAAAGTGATAAATTATATTCCAACTTAAACAGAGAAAAGTTATGCGTGCAGAATGAACAAATAAATGGTAATAAAAATACCACAACTGGATCCAGGTTGAGTAACTCAGAGTTAACAGACATTCTGTAAATTCAGATATTTATGAATTCTGAGTTCATAAAGATGCTGCAATTAACAGCACAGATCAAGGAGTCCTACTGACCTATGGACAGAGTTTTTTCCAGAATAGTGGAGCATTTTAAGATTTTTGCATCTGCGTTCCCGGGGCCAGAAGCAACTTTCATAAGTATGATGAACTTTCAATTTATGACCTTTGAAACAACTCTGAAATAAAATTTATCATCTTATTCAGTCTCTTTTGGCCTTTATATTAAATCACAGGGTTTATTTTGTATAGTATTTATTCTTTCTGACATGTATTTGCCCTATATATAGTACTTAGCAAAGTAATCAGCCACATAGAATCACAGAATACCAGAACTGGAAGGGACCTCGAGAGGTCATCGAGTCCAGTCCCCTGCCCTCACGGCAGGACCAAACACCATCTAGATCATCCCTCATAGATATCTGTCTAACCTGCTCTTAAATATCTCCAGTGATGGAGATTCCACAATCTCCCTAGGCAATTTATTCCAGTGATTTACCATATGTTTAAATTCCATTGACTCCATATTCCTGTGGTAGCTGTTTTGATTCTTTCAATATCTTTTGTATGGAAAGTACTCCAGAAGCAAAAGACTTAAGTACTATACAAGCTACCATGCAGATGTCTCATCCCCTCTTTTCTCACCTCCTTCCTCTTGTACCATTTTCATGATCCAGCTGAAATATCAATTTTTTCATTGCTATCTTTCACTTATTGTCCCTATCTCACCATTTTTGTATCCTTAATTCATTATCTGATTATTATGAAATCCCCCCCCCCAACGCTCCCCCAATTTCTATCCTATATATAAATACAGATTGGACCTCCCTGGTCCAGCTCCCCCATGGCACCTGAGCAGTCCCAGACAAGGGAGTTTGCCGGACTAGGGAAGATCTAGGAGGAGGGGCACCAGCCTCTCCACTCAGGTCCTCTCCCCAGCTCCCTGGCACCACTGCCCTCATCCCCCTGGCTGCAGGAGCCTTGCTGGTGCTCACAGCCCCGCTAGCTGTGGGCTCTGCAGTCCCTCCCTTCCTGGCCCCACCAGCTGCAGGCTCTGTGGTTCCCCCCACCCCATGGGCTCCAGCAGCCCTGTCGACTTCAGCCCAGCGGGCTATGGGCTCTGGTGCCCTGCGGGCTCTGCTGCCCCACCAGATGGCTCTGTAATAAAGCTCTCTGGTCCAGCAATATCCGTGGTCTGGCAGGACCATAGAGTCCCAGAGCACAAAAGTTCAATCTTTTGTCCCAAACTTTCAAGTAGTGGTATGTTAGATGTCTGCAGCACTCCACATACCTGTAAAAGTTTTAGAGCTCTAAGGGTATGTCTACACTGCATTCCTCTTTTGAGAGAGGGATGCAAATGCAGCTGAGCAAAATTGCAGATGAAGCGCGGATTTGAATTTCCCGTGCTTCATTTGCATAATCGCTTCCGGCCGCTTTTTTTAAATACCCTATTTCAAGATAAAAAACGCTGTGTAGACGTGGTTATTTTGAAAGAAACCCCTTCTTTTGAAATAACCCTTACTCCTCAAAAAATGAGGTTTAACGGTTATTTCGAAAAAAGGGTTTTCTTTCAAAATAACCGTGTCTACACAGCAATGTTTACTTTGAAATAGGGTATTTCGAAATAGTGGCTGGATGCGATTATGCAAATGAAGCACAGGAAATTCAAATCCACGCTTCATTTGCAATTTCGCTTGGCTGCATTTGCATTCCTCTCTCGAAAGAGGAATGCAGTGTAGACATACCCTAATTTACCTTTCACTATCCATGATGCTTTATTACTTTTTGCTTTTCACTCAGTTTATGCAATGGCTAGACTATTCACAAACTAAAGGTTTATTTTTCTAGTCCATTTCAGTTATAGTGCTCTCATATTTGCAGTGAAATGTTCAGATGCAGCTAAAATAAATAATTTTCCCAAATATCAAGGGGGTAGCTATGTTAGTCTGTATCTGCAAAAATAACAAGGAGTTCTGTGTCACCTTAAAGACTAACAGATTTATTTGGGCATAAGATTTCATAGGCAAAGATCCACTTCATCAGACAGAGGAATCCTCAGAATTTTCCCAACTTTTTTTTTTTTTAACCAAAACATTGAAACATGTCTATTAATAACAAATCATGCTCCCCTTCTAACAGCAAACTCTACATTTTGTACTAAAACCACTTGATGTATCCTAAGCAGCCAAAACCTTCACTTGTAAGAGTGAGAATAATTTTCTATCCTTAACACCCCATTCATGTCACCCGATTTAGTTTATCTGATACAAGTCTTAGCCTTACCTTTTAGATCTCTGAACCATTTCTCTCATTGGAACTGTCCTTTCCTTCTGTTTAACCAGGTAATCTAAACAGAAAGGCAAAGTTCTGAGCATAATAAAACTCTAGCGCTTACAAAAACAGTGAACAAGTTTGTTTAGATTAGCGCACTGATCTACTATTGTAATCTCAGTCATATATACAATTCATTTATATAGAATGGATAACTACCCTATTATAAGAATCTCATGATACATATAAAATAAATGTATATAAAATGAATAATTATGTTAAAGAATCTCATTAGAAATAAAGTACACTTGAAATCATGCCAAGTAAATTCAGTATTCCCTATACAGCACGCACAAACATGAGGCACCTCTGTTATAGAGCAGGTAACTAGCATTCTTATAACCCTTCTTCTCTGGGGAATTGAACAGCTCCTCTCGCTCGTTCTGCAACACACTCTGAATCTTCCTTTCTTCCATGATGAGCTTCAGGCGCTTCATACGCTCCCCAGAGCGGGAGATGAAATCAGGACGGTGCAATACAAGCGCCTCCTATGCAGAGGGAAAAACACTCTGCGGATAAAATGGCTTTAGAATATTCCTGCAAGCTGGGAGGGGATGATCAAAATTAGTGAATAGTGGAAAGCATTCCTTTCAAAAAATCACCCTCTCACAGTACAGAATGCTGTACCCATAATGCAGAGCAGCTCTCTGGGGGTCTTGTTAACAAGTACTTTGGCATTAAACAGCATGAAAGTTAACTGGCTGGGGAAAAGAATAGCTAAAATAATTTACAAAAGAGGGTGTGAAGTTCAGTTTAAACAAGCAGTCAAAGATCAGGCAGCCACACACCCAAACCAAGATAGGAGCAATCATTGACTTAAACACTTCCATCAAAATAAAACTAAAGTCTATTACAGCTATCCATTTAAGTAGTGCATATCTCAGTGTCTACAGCAGGGGCAGGCAGTCATTTTTTTGCCAGGGACCACTTCAAAAATTTTTGAAGTGGCCATGGGCTGCACCTGAAGGGGCAGGGTCAAGATGCTTTGGGCTTCCCCACCCACAGACCATGATTGGTCTGGGAGTGCGGAAGCCCTTTTGTTCCCCCTTCCACTAAGCACCATGAAGCCCCTTTGTTCCCCCTTCCACTAAGCACCATGCACCTGGCAGTGGGAAGAGACTTCCCGTGCTCCCCCACTCCCAGGCCAATCACAGCCTGGGGGTTGGGGAGTGTGTGAAGCCTCCTCCCGCCCTGCCAGGAGCGTGCAGCACCTCTAAGTGCTGCATGCTCCTCGCAGGGCAGGGGTAGGGTGGAGGAAACTTCACACATCCTCCCACCTCCAGGCCAATCAAGGCTTGGGGGCAAGGGAGCGCGCGATGTCTCCTCCCGCCCTGCCAGAAGCATGCAGCGATTTGAAGCGCCACATGCTCCTGGCAGGGCAGAGGAAACTTTGTGCACTTTCCCCTGCCCCCAGACCCTAAATGGCCTGGGGTCGGAGGAACGGCAGAGCCTCCATTGGCCGGATTAATCCGCTTGGCGGGCCAAATCCAGCCCTTTTGCCCACCCCTGATCTAGAATATGTTGGCTTCTAAAGAAAACTTTAAAGTGGGATCTCAGCATTTCACTTTCCTTTTAACCCCAATGTTTAATAGTAATAAGCAGCTTTCAAAAAATAAAGGCAACGAGTACTGTGACTTGGCTGAGACCCCTTCCTTGAACGTCACAATGTGTGCTTATGCTGACACCACCTATCTTCATCTCTATTCTACCCCATATCACAAGGCAGCAGGTAATAATGCTCTTGCTGAAGTAGGCCATCAAGGTGTGAAACTCAATGCCCCTTGACATCAACTTCTGTCCACCAGTGTTCCCTGTAAGCTGTGCAGCAGCATGGAGCACAGCTTCACAGGTGATTGATCAGGCCTGCCCAGTCATTCCGCTCCATGCATGGAGCCCTGAGCCTCTGACTGGGTGGGGCTGATTAATCACCTGTGAAGTTGTGCTGCTGGTAGGGAACACTGCTGTCCACCTCTGCTGACTTTTGATCCTCACCATAAAACTGTATTTTTCATACCTGGTTTTGAGCTCCTAAATAATTTGCCATATGGATACATGAAATCCCCATTTTAGTGTCCAATACATAGATAAATGTATTATGTTTCTGTTATATTCACTGTTTTTAAAATATCACACTGTAATCTTTATTACTTAGCATTCATGAATACTTTTGCATGGCAGCAATTAAAAAAATTTATGTTGTTACTGCTGCTGCTACATTCCTTCTGAAGTCTTGAAACATGAGATTTGATCATCCTGATTATTTTAGCTTGTATAGACATAGGTATTATAAAAAGTGTAAAATTATCCAACAGTGTTGTTATACTTGTTGACTGCATACAGCAATGAAAGTAAAATGGTGAAAATCAGGGCCACAAGTTTTGTTTTTATGAGCACCTAAACATGACTTCATCTTCTCCATCTTTTTCCCCTCACTCCTCCAAAAATTACAGTAAAACAAGAACCTCTAAAGTGGAGTGTTCTTACCTGCAGTGTCATTTTCACAAATGGTCTTGGGGGCTTGTTCTCAACATCTCTTACTGGGACCACTGGTTGAGTCTTTATGCTTCTTTGCTGCTCTTGCCAATTCCTCTCTCGGAGTGGCTCTCTCCATGGCTTTGTGCTGGTCAGTGGCTCAAACCAGGATGGACCTGGACCAGAAAAGGAGCTAAATTTGTTCTCCTTCCTAGAATAACCACAAAACTCCTATTGAAAATATTTTTTAGAGCCAAAAAGTACAAATTAGAAAAAAATGTTAAAGAATATATACATTTCCCTTTTGTCTTCTCTTTTCCAGACCCTCTGTATAAACAGTGCCACCAAACACAGAGACCTGATCCTACAGCCATTGCTCATGTCAGTAGTTCCACTGACTTCAATGGGAAGTCCTTGAATCTGTCAAAGAACATAGATAAAACCCTCTGAAATGGCTCAACTAACAACATTTCTCTTTACTTGTATAATCATTTACTAATAATTTCACATTTCTAAAACACCTATGATCCCCAAAAGTTTAATCACTCTTTACAGATGTTTCTAAGGGGCAAGTGCTTTGTATCTTCCAAACCCCTTACATGCATGTGAGTGCTTAGCACGCCTGAATTTGCAGCCTTCTGGAATGTAAATACAATTAAAATATACACTAGGTATGTTAAATATAGAATAATCAACTAATTGAATAGTCAATAGAATTTGAATCGACTATTCGATTAGTCCATAAGGGCACCTCTGCCTTTGAAATGTAGCAAGAGCCTCAGTAGCTCTTGCTACATTTCAAAGGCAGAAGCGCTGTGGGGAGCATGGGGCGAGAGGAGGACTCAAGCAGTCCCCAACTGGCCCTGTACTCCCTGCTTTTGAAATGTACAAGAGCCCCATTCTTGCTACATTTCAAAGGCGGAAGCACCTCCAGTTCCCCACTGTGCCCCTGCCATAGACACGGTGCTGATAGAGGCAGCAAGGAGGGGAAGCGACTACTCACTAGTTGACTATCTGATAAATATATGCTTACTGGACAGTAGACTAGTTGCTTATACCTCCAACATACACTTTAGAAGTTTTCATGTGAAGCAGATACAAGACTGTGATGAGTAGGGTTATCTGTTCCTAACCAAAACATGATGAACAACTGCATACAGGAATGGAATATAACATTTTAGAACATTTCAACAGCTATGCAGCTGAGTGTTGAAGGGAAATTCAGATTAGGAGGCTGGACCCTGTATCTTCCCAAGATACAGCCACAGCTGAAGAGGGGACAAGAACACTTCCTTCCAATATCATGACCTTCTCTTCGTCTGAAATCTCACTTATTCCATGACACCCTCAATAAATGAATCACTAAAAATAATGAACTATAAATCCTTGATGAAAGTTAGTAATTCCATTGCCTTTAAAAAAACGATAGATTTGTCAATGTTAGAGACTGTTCCTATGGGGCCAGCTAGAGATCTCCTAATTACATACATTGTGTATTGGTAACAGGGGCGGATATAGGGCAGGGCGAACAGGGCAGCCACCCCGGGCCCCGCGTTTCAAAAAGCTCTGTGCATGCGCCGTGGCGCCGCTGCGCATGCGCATGGCGTCACTGCGCATGCGCCATGGCAAAGGGGGGGCCCGCGGAATTACACTGCCCGGGGCCCCGCAAAACTGTCATCTGCCCCTGATTGGTAATACATGCTGGCTGATGGGAAATGTGAGCACTTTCCCATTCCAAGGTGCAATGCTTGGGGCTCACCTTGTGATAGCTGTTTCCCCTTGCCTGCTAGGTTTGGAAAATCTGAACACACACAATTCAACTGCCCAAAACCATCATTCGCATAACTCAGGGGTTTCTGTGGCCTCGCCTGGCTAGCTCTTGGGGTGGGGAAAGTCACACCAACATCTCGAGTATTTTTCTTGGTTGCACTGTTCACAATCTCCAAGTCACCTATAGTTCAAGAGAAAGAAAAAGGAACACATTACCCCACAGCAGCAATGACTAAACACACTAAAATGTTGGGAAGTCATCCCTGGTCCTTCAAACTAAGCAAGTGGCCTACTGCCATATCCCCATGTACTCTGACTTTGTCAGATATAATAAGATAAGGTGGATTGAACCAGACCAGAACCTTGATGGAAGACTTCTGAGGAACACCTCAATCATCAACATGCTCTAAGCCTTTTAGAAGATGGCACTTGTGAAGGTTGACAGTTTTTTGCCATTTTACTGTAATCTTATATATGGGGCTGGTGGACTTTAAGACTCACGCCTTTTAAGTTATCACTCCAAATCCAGCTCAAATACAGTGACCAAGGGTTGTTACTATATGATGATCTTCATGAAGTTAGTTCTGTGGCATCAGTCTGGCTCCCAAGGCAAAAAGGTGTCTACATCACACCATTAATGCAATTGGCAGTTAGAGCAAAGGTCAAGCACTGAGTGGAATGAGGGAATGAACTCCTCTCTCTCTTGTAGAGGAAGATTCCTGTTTCTGGGCTGTGTCATAAAGGCCGCTTATGTTTTACTGGATAAACAAGGGAGAACTAAATGTGTGTAAAACTGAAGCTGTTAACCAAGGCTTAAGAAATTATAAGCAACCTTGGAAGAATGTCACAAACATTTACCAACCCAGACACTAAGTTTATTCACACCTCCTTATCAAAGTGATAGAAATGTAGCCGTGTTAGTCTGGGGTAGTTGAAGCAAAATGCAGGACAATGTAGCACTTTAAAGACTAACAAGATGGTTTATTAGCTGATGAGCTTTCGTGGGCCAGACCCACTTCCTCAGATCAAATAGTGGAAGAAAGTAGTCACAACCATATATACCAAAGGATACAATTAAAAAAAATGAACAAATATGAAAAGGACAAATCACATTGCAGAACAGGGCTCTGGGAGACAGACCCATAGTCTCCTATAGACAACCACCTAACCTCAAGATGATTCTTACCAACCACCACAGGACATACCACACTAATACCAACCCTGGTACCTTCCCTTGCAACAAACCCCGTTGCCAGCTTTGTCCACATATTCATTCTGCTGATACCATTATTGGACCTAACCAAGTGAGTTATAAGACCCGCATCTCCCTCCTGTTCTGCAATGTGATTTGTCCTTTTCATATTTGTTCATTTTTTTTAATTGTATCCTTTGGTATATATGGTTGTGACTACTTTCTTCCACTATTTGATCTGAGGAAGTGGGTCTGGCCCACGAAAGCTCATCAGCTAATAAACCATCTTGTTAGTCTTTAAAGTGCTACATTGTCCTGCATTTTGCTCCTTATCAAAGTAATCATAATGAAAAGCAGGAATTTTCTTTGTCCATCCAAACAGTCACTCATCCCTTAAAGTAGGATTGTACAGGCCTGCTTTAACAAACTGTCACTGGAGGATGTGGGGGGTGGGGGAGGGACCTGAACCCAGGAAGCATACCAGTCAATAAATAAATCCTATCTGAAGTGGGGACAAGAGATATGCAAAGGGAGAATCCTGCCAACAGGAATAAAGACTGCAGTTGGCTGGCTGACTAGACTGATAGAATAGTGAGTGCTTAGAAAGATATTCAGTAACTTGCATACAAAGGACCTCGGGACTTTTAGAACTCTTACAAGAGAAAAGTAACATGGAATCTAGTGTAATCAGTTATTTGATACTGAAACGGATTAAAGGTCTGAGATAGCAGAATTCACAGATGAACAAACACCTGGGCCAGTAGCATGGTGGGAGCCAACAAATGCAAGTGTCTGATTTTAACACTTTATTCTGAAAGGATCAAAGCAGTACAATTTGTAGGCAGCGAATGCCCAGTGTACTTTCCTGTCAGTGAAGACCTGCATTAAACTCTGAAACAGCCCTGAGATGAAAGCCAGAAGTGAATAAGCAGAGATGAAGATCAGACCTAAGGAAACTCACCTGCTTGGATGCCCTTGTTTAACATCCGTGTGTGTCGCTTGTTATTGAGGGCAGAGCTTGGTCTCCAGGAACTGCTGATTGTAGCAGAAGATTCTGATGAAATAACAGAGTCTGTCATCTAGAAAAAGCATAACAGGTTCTTGGGGATCTCTATTCAACTCAAGTCAGCCTGGGGGCAGGGGTGAGGGATCAAGCTGCAAGGGAACGATAGCCACAAGTTCAGTTCTTACTGATTCTTTTATGGGCTCAAGCCAAAGGGTTGCAGGTAACCAAAGCATTTATCTCCTGGCAATGAGGAGAGTTGAGGACAGAGCATGTTTAACATGGTTCAATAGTTCTATTATATGTAAGTGCACCAGGAACTGTACGTTTAGCTGAGCACTTTGTTCACAAAGTCAGAAGAAGAACCTGAGAGAGAAGACGCTGTGCAATTTCAAGGCAGAACATCTGGACCAAGGTACCTGAACGCTGCAAGAGAAAGGGATTATGCTGGAAGGCTGCTGGGTTCCCTTTCTGCTCAGTAATGATTTCTGTTTCTACAGTACCAGAAAGAAAGCAAAGGACTTTCCAAAAGGCACCAGTAAAAAATTCTCCCACTTTTTTCATGCCCCCCAAAAATCAGTGTTCTCTACTGAGGCGAAACCTGTTGAGAAAACTGCAACTTAGAGGAGGTAAGAAACAAGGAGCTAAGTACCATGAGTGGGAGGTTATACAGGCACTTGTACCTCTTAGTTCATCATAAAAATAGAACTAGCTGTGCTCATAGATCTAATATTGAATGGAGCTGCTTTGTAAATTTGTGTAATGATCTTATTGCCCTTTAAAATTGTAGGGCATTTTGTCTGTGAATACAATGCACCTCTTTACGCAAGATTTGTATTCTGATTATGTAAATAGGGATATGTTGGTGTTTAAATAACTCAGCAGTTATTGACAATGCTTCTACAGCCCTCAATTTTGACAATGTGGCGTCAAACAGCTGCTAGAATGAAGTTAGTTGTGCTTCATTTTAATTAGGAAACAGATTTTTCACACCTATTACAGTAATCAGTATTCTATTAATACCTCATAATACTAAATCTGATGGGCGCAACAGGAGCTATATTTTATTGCTCAGGAACTATTGTACCTTCATTGTCATCAATTCAACAATGCATAATTTCAATCACCGCATTTAAAAGACCTGGCTTTTATTCTCAGAAATACAAGAATGCGTCACTTTGCGTCTTGTAAAATCAATTACAGCTCTGGCAGATTTTACATGATAGATATGGCAGACATGCACCTGCACATCTGAGAACCGAATCAAAATGCATATACACATTCTGGAAAAACAAAATCCTTATTCTATATGCAGAGAAAATTGATTTCCCTCCCTCCCAAACAAGCATTTCAGCATTCAAGCAGGTTAGATATACGCAGTCATTCAGCAATTAATATATACATACTTATTTCCATTCAAACCAACTTCAATGCAAACCCTGGTTTTGCAGCTGGTGCCAGATATAACTTCAAGAGTACCTGAGAAGTACAAATTATATTTGATAGTAAACACCTTAAAGGAAGCATCCAGCATTTGTATACTGTTGAGCAGAAAATTGGCACTGTTACTGAATAAAAAAAATCCAGAACAGGGTTCTGTGGAGGCAGAGCTGACAATATTACTCAGATAAACCAGAAATTTAATAAAAACTGAGTATAAAAAGGGTGCCACTTTCTTATATAGGTTGGACCTCCCTGGTCCGGCACCCTTGAGACCTGAGTGGTCCCAAACCTGGGAGTTTGCTGGGCATGGGGAGGTCAATGCTCCCCCTACTGGCTGCCCCTCTCCCATCTTTTCCTATCAACATCTTTTGTTGCAGACTACTGGGACATTTTCTGAACTTACACTCACTTACACTCCAGACTTGCCGGACACTAAATCTCCATGAAGATCTGTCAGACCTGTCAACACTCATGGTGCCACATGGTGCTGAGGGGCTGACAATGGGAATGGTTCCAAGATATCCCTCATCAATGGTGTCTGCACATTCAGTAACAGCACTGCCAATGCAGGAAGCTGCAATGCCAGTCTGTAGCACCAGACTATGGGGTACCAGGTCATTCTTCAGTAGTGCCAATGCTGAAGAGTTGGAAGTTTAAAGAACCAAGTTCCTCTACACAGGAAGTCTTGGCAGTGCTTTTTGTGAAACCTCTTCAGAGAAGCCTCTTCTTGATGAAAATGCGCTGGCACTATGAGGAGACTAAGCAGAGTGATCTCGAGGAGATACTCTTTTCTTCTTTTAGGTGATCTTAAGAGATCTGCCTCTGGAATATGTGCCCTGTATCTTTTCGGACAATGAGTGTCAAATTAGGTTGATCTTGGTGCTGAAACAGACGGAGCCAATTGGGCCAAAGAGCCAGTTCTCACATTTGTTAGTGATGGAAGATACAGGTAGGTCATATAACCCAGCGTCCAATAACTTAATGGACTTGCTCATAAGGTAGATCTGCAGCTACATTTCCCTATTCTTTACACTTACGATGGGTGAAGCACTTGCAAATGGCACAATTTCCAAGACTTTCCCCAAACAAAATAAATGTTTTAAGGGCCTATAATTAAAGAGCACAATACTCTCACAGGAGATTTGGTTGAGGCCAATCTCATAAAAGAAAAATTTTAGTTCTGGTAAAACAAAACTAATAAAATGAATACAATGCTAACAAGGCAATTACTATCACCAATTATGCTCTAAACAAGTTTGAAAAAAGGTGCTAGAAAGTTCACTAACCACCGACAGTAAGCTAACCACGGACAGCAGGAGGCAATGAGAAGAACCGCAGTGGCAGGTGGTGTGACCAACTCTTTCATGTCTTCAAATCATGATACAAAGACACCATACAGCCCAGTGGGCCATCTTATCTCTATTACATTAACTGCTTTGCATTATATAATCAGGCTACAACTGAGAGGGCATGCATAGCCTATGAAAAGACCAAAAGACTCCAAATTCAAGTGTACAGCTTGCATACACATCATTAGTAGAATGCACATATGGACAATCAGTGATCGTTATTGTCTACTGCCCATCTACCTTTAACTCCTGCATACCTTAATTACAACAAACAAATCATCTGAAGAAGTGGGTTGTGCCCTCAAAAGCTCATGATACTATACATATATTTTTGTTAGTCTCTAAGGTGCCACCAGACTACTTGGGTTTTTTTAAAAGTTGTTTATAACAAACAAAAAGCTATTGTTGGCACTACACAGACAAAGCTGTAGAAAGCCACGCTGGATTGCTATATTCTACATAAAGATTCAAAGAAACCACACCTCCATTTTTTATTATATACATGCCAAATATTACAAAATATGCATAGTACTTAAAAATAGAATAATTGAACCAACTTTCTTTTACCCTTATTTGAAGTAGAACAGCATTCTTATCCCTATTTTATACAGGGGGACACTTCATCAAAGAGATCAACTTACTTTCCCAAAAGCACAGTATCAGAGTTAGAATTAAAACTCAAGAGTTCGTAGCTCCTAGTCCCAGGCTCCTAACACTCCCCTCTCTGGGGATGGTTAATAACCAGAAAGAACAAAAAACCTGGGTGCAGTTTGCTGAGCTGGTAGTTGAGAGGGGACAAGAAGGGAATCAGTTCCTAACCTGTAAACCATGCATATTTGATCTAAAAAAGTTACTGAGTATCAGAAAATAAACAATCTGAATGTCACTTTTACAGAAGTCACTTTTCTGACTATAACTGCAACTTCAGGATCATTTGCAGTAATTTTATATATTTTAGACAAGCTAAAAATCAAGAGGCTCATTTACTCCCAAACACCTAATAACCTACTTACCCTACATTAAATGTTTTGATTTATTAACTGCTTTCATCAAAGATCAACAGTATATCTTAAAATAGAAATGTAGATGAGCACTGATACACTACCATTTTGTTCTCTCAAATATTAAACAGAGAGTACTAACATTTAAAAATACAAGAACCAGAAAGATGTACTATGCAAACACTAGAACATATCACATTCAATACTGTATCTTCATCAAACCCAAGCTCATGCCACATTTTGATAATTATCCTTCATTTATCCTCCTAACTATGGTCAAGGTCTATCATCCATTTAAATCAATAGAAAGATTTCCATTGATTTCAGTGAATTTTGAATCAGGCCTTTAGACAGTTTGAGAGAGATTTTCAGGGCAAACTTTACAGTTTAAAGTGCCATCTATAACCACATTTCTACAGATACAAATAAATCAGAAAAGTCCAGAAGTTCTCATCTAAATATAACCCCATGACTAACACAATAATTAATATTAATTACAATTGTACAAAGTAGGTTTGCTCAGACCAGCTAGAGCCAAAGTACACAGTCCCGCTTTCCCAGTTTTATCTGAAGAAATATGGAACCAGGGAGGGAATATTTAAGTGATTGCAGAGGTGGTATATTTTGAACTTATTGCTCTACAAAGTCTACAGGATCTCCGACAGACAAATTAGGAGGAAAAGGAAGGAAGTGAATGAAGGGGTGTGATGGGGCTTAATTTCTCATGGCTTGTAAGACAAGGGAAAGAACCTTGTCCTCCTGGCCAGAGGAGATGAAGCTAAACTGTACAAGAGGTTGATGCAGCTCAGTAGAGAGGAAAAGATCCAGAAGAGAGAAGGTAGAGAGAGTTCCCTCTTCCTCGGAAGAACCTGGAAGAAGGTCCAATAGGTTGGGAGTGGCTAGGGACAGGAAGCAGAGCTACAGGAGTAGGCTTAATTCCTATGGTTGGGCCCTAGAGCAGCAAAGGGCAGCCTAGTCTAATGAGTGGGTGACATAAGAAGCATTCCATCTCAGTGGACCCCAAGATTGTTGGAACCAAGACTGTCACCTGGGTGGGGTAGTTTTGCTAACTGCGCTTGTGTACCTAGAATTTGCGGAGTGTGTTGCTTGAACCATAGCAGTGCTCTGATTAGATGCAGTGGGAGCACATGGCTCTCACAGTCAATGCTCTGTGCAATCAGCACACACCTCACTTCACGTGCCCTTGCTTTACATGCGCGTCACTTTAACACTGACAGGAAAAAATCTACAGTCAACCATTCTTTACATAAGGAACAGTTACT